TCATCATATCGTCATCACAATCATCATCATCATCATCGTCGTCATCATCATCGTTGTCACTCTCTTTAATTCATCATTATCTCCCAGCAAGTGATCCGAATGGAAGCGCTAAACTTTTTGCTCAGCGCAAAAAAGCCCACACGTCAGCCGCAGTGACGACAACAACAATGCACATGTCAGATGAGCTCTGTGACGTCATAATGAGGCTCACCGTCATAATCATCATCACGGCCGTCATCATTATCATCACGGCCGTCATCATTATCACCACCTGACCGTCATCATCATCATTATCATCATCATTACAACGATAATAGTAATCATCATCATCATCATTTTTACTATCATTATCAGCATCATGTCATCATTATCTACGATCCTATGAGTCATCGCCATTAAAGTCAGCTTGGGCATGTCCAGCATTTAAATCAACAACAATAATAATAATAATAATAAGAAGAAGAAGAAGAAGAAAAAAAAAAGAAGTAGAAGAAGACAAATAGCCAATAAAATTATTATCGTTACAATGATATAAACACTGAATAAAGTGTAACTTAATATTATTAATATGAATAAGTACATACGTACTTAAATACATACATACATACATAGAAATATACATATACATACATACATGCATACATACATACATACATACATACATACAATGACATAAATACATATGTATACATATACCACATACATACGCATTATACAATCTCATTAATACCTAATGTTGATACGCAATTAACACCTAACAAACGCAGTACCAGCCAAATACAAACATTTGTATATCATTTGTATGTAATGTATGCACGTCTGTATGTGTGCACGTATGTGTGTGTACGTGGACGTGTGTGTGTCATCATTTTTTTCAAAATTAAATAATGATCTTCTTAATAATATTAATAATGCTGGCTCGTCGGCGGCTGTCATAAGCTTATGACCTCAGGGAATTTAACAGGTAGATACGGTGATGATGATGATGATGACGACGATGATGATGATGATGACAATGATGATGATGATGATGATCATAGGTGAGGATGATGATGATAATGGTGATCATTAGTGAGGATGGTGATGACGATCGTGATTATTTTTATTCTTTTATTTAAGTTTTTGTTGATATTATTATGTTTCAAAATAATAATAATAATTATTATTATTATTAATCATAATATTAATAATAATAATAATAATAATATTATTGATTTTTATTACAAAAAAAGTATGACAGTAATAGCGAACCTTCCAGACTTGGTGATAATCATCTCCGTCCCAATTGAGTTGAACTTCTGCCAGAGTTCTTTGTTCTCCAAGGAGACCTTGATGTTTTTGTCCGGGACGTCACGTGATAACGATGACGTCAGCGATGACGGAGTCGACTGAAGTAGTCGCTTGGAGTCGTTGTAAGCGGCGCTCGTAAAACCTGTGCGTATGAAAAATACAAACATACATACATACATACATACATACATACATACATACATACATACATACATACATACATACATACATACATACATACATACATACATACATACATACATACATACACTTCATACCTACTTACCTACATCCATACATACTTTC